CGTGTCCGTGATATAGTTCTTCCGTTGGCCGCTGCTTCGCTACCTCTTGAAATAAATGTATAATTTTTACCTCTTCTCCAGCATTCGTTTTTCTTGTTGCTGGACATTATGTGGTACAGTTGTTGTCTGTTGATAACTTAAATCAAGTCACGGAAAACAAGGTTTAATTAGTGGTACATTTCACTCCCAGTCATCAGCTTTTCGAACGCGCGACACAACAGCTGGCCAATTTTTTTTTATCAGTAGCAAATTGTCGAGCGATTGATGGATACATCCAGGTCGCGGAGGTAGGACAAGTGACTCCGACTGAATTCATAGGACTGACTTGTGTGTGTGTGTATGGCGCAAGAGTGATGCTTCATTATCAAGGGTCGAGCTAGCGATAATCGGTGGCTACAAGATCACATCACTGCTTACAGCCAATGTTGCGGGTACCCGCTCCAACCCCCCCCCCCCCTCCCCCCACTACCGAACTGGTTTACACCATGGAATATATATATAAGATATAACATTAAATAAAACCTATAAGTCGAAGTAAACTAGCTTGCCAAAAGACAGGACACCAAAATACCACTAACCTTTGTACAATACAAGTGATTACTAAGTTTTTATTGCAATCAGTAGGCGCTGTATAGACCATCGTTGTGAGAGCCTAGATGGAATGGCCGCAACATCATTCAGATAAGGTCATTGGTTTGTTTTTACAAGTCGAAGATAAAAAAACGCTGGCTTATCAAAAGGCAACCAGGCAAACTGTCTGAAAAACACAAGATGCCTACACGCTAATTAAACTGGGCTAAAAATTCGAATTCATGATACCGAATAGTGCTCATGGTAAGAAAGATCTTTAAACCCAAAAACAAGCGGCCAAAGCTTCTAGTGGATAGAGGGGTCCGAACAAAGTTCCAGCTTGATCATTCGATTTATTCGCCTATTTTATAATATGTTCTCTTGAGACATCGAAACCAATTGTTGACCCGCGGACCCGTGCTTCTCATAACTGAGCGGCTGATATTGGTCTTATATGTGTATCGCATCTCAGTCCCTGTTTATCTCTATTAAATGATAAATGTGTTTTCCCATCTAATTTTCCCGTTCGCTTTTTTGACGACTATTATGACTAATATATATATATATATATAATATGTATAATAAAACTTCAACGAAACTATCGGCTTTTATGATGTTATTTCACTTTCAGTATCAAAACATCGAAAGTATAGTTTGCCTTACGTAAGGCTCCGATGTCAGAGTATGATCCAAAGGAGAGAAGCATAACTGAGTCGTTCCAATGAGGCAGGCATCGACAGACGACCAAATTAACTAACCAGTCAAATCAGATACACAAACAGCCGTATACAAACCGTGCTACTAGTAAATATGATCGCACAAATTTTATTAAATGCAATCGAAGATTATGTCCACTTGTTCCCTTGCTAAATAATATCATGCACAGAACGTATAATAATAATAATCAAATGTACTAAATAGCTTTGCTTGTTCAAATATTGCGGGCGGGCGAGCGAGCGAGCGAGCGGGCGCTCACTTCTCTAATGAAATTCCCCTCGCAAAGCGGAACCCGCGTCTCTCTATTTCAATCCATCGTGGCTTCCCAAACAAATGCTGCTCCCCTTCTTCCACTGCTATGCATAACTTTTGAGAATTCGTATTATTAAATAGTGCATATGTATACATATGACATTACTTATTTCAGATATCACACGTAATAATGTCGTACTATCAGACAAATAAACCTGCCAGCAGGGTTTATAGGAACGTGGAAAGCTTTATCCTGATCGCACGTGTCTCCACCACATCCATAAGGGCAATGTCGTGAACAATATCCGGGTGCTTGATGAAGAAAGTCTTACGTATTTTCCATCGTGGGTAGTCTATACTCTAAAAGGTTTTTTTATACAGCTTACGTTAGCCTCTTTGCACGTCAAACTTAGACACTGAAGCCCATAGATGCGAATAATGCAAAACGACTATTTCTTAAAAGGTTTCCTTTTAGTTTCGCAACAACGTCAGCTATTGTCCTTATTTTCCGATCCTGGTTGTCTACCTGCCTTATGCCTATGAGGAAGCCGCTCACGTTATTGTACCTCACACATTGCGTTACGGGAATAACAAGGCGATGCGTTTTCCTATTGCATATTTGTTCGTTAGCACATGACACAGAGTATACTGATGACCGCAAAAGATTCACCTATCTTAGGCCAGTAATACCCGTAGATCTGCGCCATGGCTCTTTCTGATTGTTTACGAAAAAGTATAGGCTGATTAACTTCTCCTTTGTAAAAAAGGCCAATCAGTTTTTCGCAGCTAGCATCGTTATTATCGCTTATATCTTTGTTATTATTACTACTGTAGCAACGGTGGACCTTCATCATGTGTCCATTGCATCTGTTTGTTATTGGCGTTAGCACTTCCGCGAACCATTCATGTTGTGCATATATATCTTCCAAGCCGTGACACAGTGGACTCTGAACAGGCGGCTGTTTGTTATTTCAACAATATATAGTACTAGTCGTTGCTGTACGTTACCGACATTAGCCCATTTCGAACAAATCGTGGGGCAGTTGACGTTCAGGCACTGTGTTTGTGTATGAAGAACATCGCCTCAAGCTGCTCGCCTAGTATTGGCATCAGTTCGCATTTATCTGTAGGACAGTCCGGCGCCCCCCAATCCGTTTGCGTAGCATAGATGCCACAGAAGCGGTCCACCGTCAGGCTTCCCGCCGCAACACCAGAATGGCATCAGTCAAATCCGCAGCGTTGGACGCACCAGTTAAACGACGATACAGAAGACGCCGAGGACTATTCCAGAGTCGCTCAATTTCTTGTGGCGTGCTCGCGACTGTACAGAACCAAAGCCGCACGTCGAAGCACGTGGGGCAGCCACACAGTCTGTTCCAACTAGTACGAGTATAACATAAAGAATATACAGGGTCGTCTGTGGTGCAAACAGCTTCTATGGTAACACCAGCATGCGTTGAAATTTCTAGCGACGTATTGTTCTGATTGTTGTCTCTGTTGATGTAGGAGGTGATACCGTTAGAAGAAGATGCCTTCGACAGTGGTTCCTCAGACACAGTTATCTGCACGGAAAAGAAAATAACAGTTAGCGTCGATGTAGACGCAATCCGTTACGCTATGATCTTATCGTAAGATGTTTTTCGTTTATTTTCTTATGAAACGCTGCCGGCCTATTACACCGCTAGTCGCGTGCCTACAATATACGTGGCGGTCGAGTGAGACGGCCAATAAGGTGCGCTACGAATTCGAAGTCGAAATCACCCAGATTTGTGTCTCGCCATTATTATGCGTGTACACAAACAAACGATACATGATGTCTATGACTAGAAGAAGGTTCTCGTGATAGTGAACATTTTGAGAAAAGAACATAATAGAACAGCTCAAATTGCAAAAGTAACGGATAGTTCCTCATCAACACGTCCTCACACCGTGGCAAGAAGAAGTAAAGCAGATGTGGATAGAACAGTCTCTGTTACCAATACTACCGCGTTAATATCAACCTTTTACTCTAATCGTTGACGACTTTCTCTAGCTTCGGTCAATTAGCAACGTTTGCTGAAACGTAGCTCAAAGCAGATTGCCATACCATCCCGAAGTTCACTAGCATCTACATAGAACAGCTCGAACAGTTGCCGTTGGCTGAACATCCTCAACAGTTAGCGTCTATGCCTTCCATTGAATGATTGCAGTGAACCGTTACAACGCCCAGTTCTTCCACAGGAGAGTGAATATCCGGATCTTTTCCATTTTCTGCCCTTTTTCCAGCTTGCATTAGTTTTTACGGCAAGAACAGCAGTCCCCGCCGCTGCTGCCACTGATGTCAATCGAAACTTGTTTTCTAGAATTGTTTTGGCACACATAAGAACGTCCGCTTTTGCAAGTATTCCGCCGTGAAGACCGAGTAGCCCCGGTCGACACCGTTGGATCTCGCAGATATCGTCGATCGATCGATCGATCGATCGATGCGAAACGAAACAAAATACGCATATTCATCTGTAACAGTATGTATAAGCGCCCACAATCTAAATCGTCAAGAAAGACTGATACCATAGATGCACATGTGGGCGGGCGGCAGCCCCCAGCGACATGACGGCAAAGCACACTGAAATGAATCATTGTTGTGAGAAAATCTAATTGAATCTGATAATTATCTAAAGAGAACGAAGCTAGGCTCAAGTTCCGCCGATGACCCACTGTCTTTTTATCGAAATTCCTTTGTTTCGTTCATTTATCCTTTTGACGATGGCAAAGAAAGATTTGTTTAATTTATCCATTACATAAACCTATTTTATTCGTCCAAGATTGCCAATCGACTTAAAAGTGAAGCGGGTCATACATGCGTATATATCGTATATGCTGTAGATCTGGCACATGCCTATATTGATTACGACGGACGGACGGACGGACACTGCTGGAGCCGGCAAGACAGAAGGGTAAAGGGAACTGCTGTAACTAAAACGAATAAAGCCTGCACATTTGTCGCAGTTCATAATATTTTTAGTGAAGACTGTCACTAACGAGGAAACTGCGAGTGAAAGAGGTATAGTGAGGAATCCAACGGCAATTACTAAATGTGGTACGAGTCTTGGGTGAAGATGAATCATACAAAGTATGTAGAGATCGGCATTAAAAACGCTGTTAAGCCTCGATTGTTTGATTCACTTCTTATTTAATATCGCTCAAAATTGACGGTAACCAACAAATAGGAAAATGACGCGGGTCACGCGGACAAGGCAAGAGCACAAATGACCTCTTGCCAAAACTAACCAAGCACGTAAAGCTTACCACATTGAATCTTCGTTCTGTGATTCCGTGCGCGGCGCGACGTTGATCATTGCAAGAAAATGTAGCAGGCGTCCAGTCAGAAGAATGGGAATTGGCATCGATTTTCGCTGTTGTTCGCACACAAAACGAACTTTGCATGAAAAAACTGTAGAAGCAGAAGTGCGAAGGCATTTTGTTACAGTTTTTGATAAGAATTAAAAAAAAAAAACTCATCTCTGCAATTTATTACGCTATTTTTTCCTTAGCAATTTTTATTGGAACGTAGGTAGAGATCCGTGCTAAACTGAAGCAACAGCTTGCAAGCTACAGAACGACGGAGCTAATGTCATGATCATTAACAACAGCGGGCCCTTGATCGTGACCGTGGCCACGTGTCCATCTCTTTAGCTTTGTACTAATCCTCTCAGTGGCTTAACTGGTAATCATTCGGAAAGGTGACGCTGCGATTCCCATCCGCCGTCGGCAGAATTGTTCCTAGCCGCAGTAAAGACGCCATTGTTGCTGATGCCGGTCGAGTGGACTGCAAGATCGTCCTGGAGCCGCCTGACCTTGGAGACGTGGAAAAGGAGGTGCAAGTAGGCTTATATACATATATATATATATA